TTTTTAAATAACTAAGATGGTACATGCGTTCTGATCGGTTAAAAACCTATGCCTCATAGAAAACTTAAAGTTATTTTATAAAACCGATAGACCACACTTTCTTGGGATGTTGGGAGAACACTCGAAAAGCGTGTAAATCGCACGAGCCGAAGGCGAGTGATTTGCAAGTTTTTCTCGTGTACTCCCAACATCCCGCGTGGGTTATCACGCCGGTAAACCCATAAAAAGAGTGGTCTATTGCTTAAATATATTTTAACTTTTCGAAGCGCCTCTACAATTTAAGGTCCACGCACATGTTCAACGCACCGGCGAAAGTAGGATTTCAGAACTCACTCATGATGTATTAGGCCGCAACCGGCGTAAGGGCGGCCATGAGGAATTCACAGAACTATTGTTGAAGTCGTTTTATCAACACAGTCGTTATGACCTGACGATCTTACATATTCTATATATTTATTATACACTTATTCTGTAATCACTTTATGTGTAATTCAGGTGAGAGATTGCAAGTTGAAGTTATAAAAAACCATTAATCTATTTTCAGTTTTAAGAAACAGTTACTGTGAAGCGTTTTTTAGCTTTAAGTAATATATCAAACATGAGACGCAGTGTTTCATCACCAGATGAAACACCGAGAAGAGAGTTGAAAATACGACGCGCAGCGGAGTATTTTTGACGAACTTCGAGGTGTTTCATCTGGTGATGAAACACTGTGTCGAATGTTTGATATTTCTTCTCAAACAAAATCATTTTTGAAGGAGAAATTAAGGATGCAAATACTGAGCAGTTTTTCATCCGATTTCCAAACACTCATTAAACATTAATTTTCTTTGTATTTTCTTTATGAATTATTAATGAGTTTGAGAAGCATATATATATATATATAGTATAAGTATATCTTAAATCACCATCACCATCGTCATGAATATTATCAGAATATTATCATTATATTCAGCATTATAGTTATACAAGAGCCCACGGCAATAGTCTTCACTATTACCACTTGTTTATGACGTACCCAGAGAAAAGGGTTTAAGCTAAAGTATATTCACAAAAACATTAAAAGGACAGTAACGCAGGCAGTCAGGACAAATTTTAAGAGTTGGGACTCTTTCCAGACATGAGTATCCTGCATTCTATATGTACCACTGGTTTCCTTCGTTGCGTTACTTTTTCTTTTTACCTTCAAAGCACCAACACTATTTATCATCTATTTTTTGGTTACTTAAAATTGCTTCTAGTTTGGAACTTTTATTGTTTGGTACTCAGGGACTTCAGCAAGCAAGCATTGATTACCCATTTACCGACAGCAAGGAAAACACATGCACTTTCGCTTGACTGAAGTGCGGTCCTCTGAGTGCTGCTCTTTGGCAAAGTTGATGAAAACCTAGCAAGAAAAGCCGAGAAATAATAAGGCCATATCCCACAAATGTGACGCTGACCGGGCCTCTAATATGCTCAAAAACGATGTTCACCAGTGCCAACTCTCAGACCCGGTATTTTATAATCTTTATGACTGGTAATAACCAAAAGCTAGAGAGAGCGGGCGAGTTTGATCGAAGGTCAAAACGCCCTTGCTCCAAAGCTAGTGCTTTGCGAACGTTTCACCTGATAAAACGAATGCTGGCTACAGACGTGCCATGCATGCGTAGCAACCTGTCGCCCGCAATTATTACCTTATTTATTTAGGTAATTGACGCAGCGTCGCCATAGATGGCCATTGTACGCGCGTTATTTACCCAGGCAATCCTGGAGTTAAAAAACTCAGGCGTTTTCTCAGTTTAAAAAAGTAAATAAACACGCATTTAAGTCAAGATTGAGATTTGGAAAATTGAGAAGACTGGCAAATACATAAAAAGATACACAATGATTCAAAAGTAGCACATTCACATAGTGGTTCTTCGTCTACCATAACTGATCGAAATGGAAGTTGGTAGTTTTGGTTTTTGAGGAGAGGGAAAACTGGAGTACCCGGAAACCCCGGGCCACATTGCACGTAGAAGGCAAGTGCTCTCACCAGTGTGCCACTCTTGCTCCTCAAAAATGAGCTTAGCAACTTTACCTGTTCTAGTGTAGTCTGGCTGATGCTGTAATCCACAATGTTCAACGCACTTCTGTTTCTTTCAAGCTGACCAAAGATGTACGACCAGCTCAGAGCTTCATTAACTATCTGGTAATGCAAGATTCCCTAAAAGAAACAAAGCACAAACCATCACAATTCTAAAAAGTAAAACTTCATGCAATGGAAATTTAACTGAAGAACACGAACTTGATTTTCGCGGTTGCTCGGTTCAGTATAGTATTGATAGAACGGTCAAATAAGTATTAAGCGGACACCTCTATTAAGGTGGCTCGATGGGGTTTTTCAGAGTCAATACTTACCAAGTTTGAGCATAAACCACGTCGTCATTAACAAAGATTTGAAAACTTACCACCACGGCTGTATCAGATGAAAATGAAAATTTGTTATGATCAGGGTTGCAATGAAATCGGAGTTGATCTAGCAACGAAATGACGCCATTGCCTATTTTACTTAGAGCTGTATTTCTCGGCACTGAGAACCGTATTAAGCGGGCTGCTGGTTATTCCCCAAGAGCGTCCGCTTAATACAGGTTTGGCTTCCTAAGAGTAAAATTGAGCTCAGTCAGGAGTTGAGTAGTCTCCAACAGAGCCGTGTCGTCACGCAACACTTCTCCAGGGACACAAAGAAGGCTTCGAAGGAGACTGGGACTTGCACGACTTACACTGTGACTGTCCATAAGAGTTGCTCCGCCAAAGGCACTGGTAACAAACTGCATGACTCTGTTAACAGCATCTATTGCTGCGGCGGAATCAGGGTTGTCCAGTTGAGCCGTTGGATTGGCGAAGACCTGGGGCTGGCTTGAAGGAACAGCATGGGGACTTTGAAAGGCGGGTACAACTTCAACACGATTTACTAGAAGTAACAAACCGAAGACATAATTTTCTAAAAGAACCTGACTTAGAAAAGAGGAGCAAGTGCATGCTCTGGGACAAAAAAACCTACACTAAATTTCCCAACAAAATGGGTCGATAACAATTGTTTGTCTCAAGTATCGTGACATGTAATGGATATATTCACTCTTCTTCTCCCAACAGCGCCTAAAATTAGATTTGAAAACAACGCTATTTTTTTTAGAAAATTTTAAAACACAAAATTCCACACACTGACTCTATGTCAGAAATTCAAGCTCTAATTATTTTGGAAAATCTTTCTCTTACGTTCTTAGCGATCAATGCTGCGCCTATGATTTCCGTTCATAGGCTCCGTTGACAGTTACCATTGAATTACCTATACTACATGTCTTCACAGTTAATTTTGAAGTTCAATGCGTTAACCTACGATTTAAGGCGACCCTAACGGGAAATGTGAGGGCAAAATTCTTTGGGAAACCACAAGTTCCTACAGACTGATGCCATACTGAGGAAGTTTTCAATTCGTTGAACCCGTTAACATTATCAACCAATTCATTTACTGGGATCATTATAATTTTCTGGGAAACTGCCCACCTACCCCTCCCCTAAGCCAACGTTTTTCCCTAAGTGAGAAGCAAGTGTTAATGTTGGCTAAGGGAAGGGGTAGGTGGGCAGTTTCCCAGAAACGTATAATTTTTACTTTACCTTCAGAGTCAGCTATTCCTGTGAGCGAGACCGTAGGTTGCTGGCTACCGACCTTAACCATCAATGTATACCCTCTTCCAAATCTGGTGAATAAAATAACGAATGATTTTATCAAGAAGAGCAACGGCCGATCTGAGTTTGAACTCGATCGGAAATTAAGAACACGAGAGAAAGTATAAACTAGGACATCAAAAGCTTCCCATCTACAGGCTTATTTTATACGAAAGATTCCTTACTATGTAGTTAAAGCTTTTTATAATAAGAGAGGCATTCTATTCAAGCTCACTGAACATGACGTAAAAATATCGTAAGGGTTTGGGACGTGTTTAAACTGCAACATACCGAATTAAACTCATTTGCTCTGTCGATAAGTACTAAGAACATTCTACCATGGTGCATCGAGGTAACGGTACTCAGGAACGGAATGGCTCAGTATAGAGCTTGCAGGGCTAGAAAAAGAAGTCCCGTCTGGTGGTCCGGGAAAAGTAGATTTTCTTGCTGGATAAGTAAATTTTAAAGCTCACTTGCCCGATGCACAAGTGTCCAGGAAAGTTATCCTCTAAGCACGTAGTTGTCCCGGGCATGAAAAAATATGAGAGCTGCTTGCCCAAAATACGTGCTGGAGTTCAAGAATTTTTCAAGCCCCGAGCTTGCCTTACCTGCTCTTAAGATGCTGAGTGGAGCCAAGACATTTGAAGTGTCCGTTCACCATAATCGCTAGTCTTGTACAAAGAGCCTCGCACTCTTCCATGCTGAAAGAGAAAGCCACGTCAACATTTTTACCGCTAAGATGCTACAAATTTGAGTCTGTGCGTAACAAAAATAAACTAACAAAACAAAACAAAAACCCTGTTTAAAGCCTCAGCCTCACTGGTGCGTAATTATTCCATTCTTAGCCTGCAAACAAGCGCTCTTGGCCATGCCAGGCGAAAACTGCTAAAATAGCGAGGATATTTAAGTATATCGTTTTGAAGTTAATTTTTTGGAACAAATAGGAGGTTGGCGTCTGAAACAAACCAATACACGAAGTACACTATATTTTAGCACTACAAATTACGATCGCACTAATACGTTCTATTCTAAATAAGCAAATTCGTGAAATGCTGGTGCATAGTGGGTCCACTTGGTATTGAACAAAAGACACTGGAACAGTCTAGTTTAACCAAATGCACTGCCCAAACATGTGCTTAAAAGAATTTGTACGGTATTTCAAGCCGTATATTTGTTCCTGGTTTCCCTGTTCACGAGTATCAATCTGTTTCGGTAGCACGTGCAAGTCGTATAGGGACCTTAAGATCCGAGGATGGCGACGACAGCGAACAAGTCACTTAAAAAGTTAATTCGCGTTCTTTCAATCTTCATCGCGATTATTCCAACTCACTTACTTTGTCAAAAACAGGCGAACTCTCCAGGAGTTCAATTCCTAACAACCATGTTACATAAGTTCAGAAAGAGAAAGACAATTTCGTCGTGACTTCTTTACGTCCTCCCTAAAACGTGAAATTAGACATTTTCACGTCGTAGCCGTGCGGTGATGGCAAAGAAATGAACAAAAAAGTGTGCTGCACGTGCAAAGATGTCGTTTTGCTAATCTTAACCTATTGCTCTCTTAACGTTCTCGTTGCCCTCGCCGTCGTCGGATCTTAAGGTCCCTGATGCGTGTACCTGTGTGACGTCAGCACGATGGAGCGTCCGTCTTTCAAGACACCTGTCAATGTATCCCAGAGAAAGCGTCGGGCAACTGGATCCATACCAGTGGTGGGTTCATCCTACAAAACAAACAATGAAGCATCTTAGTGGTTTCAAATAGGCCCTTTGTAGCTTGCCATTCACGTGGTACAAAACCGCCGTGCTGGGATGCAAACGTCGCACTGGGGCAAGACCAACAAAAGGCATACATAATTTGAAATGGTAATTTCCTTTTCTTTGAAGATCCAGACAGGCATTAGCAGAGTCCAGGCAGGAAGCCTTGAAACTCTGTTCCGTGACTCCTGCTCAAAATTCTTTTCTCTTTTTACTAGATTCGCCAATTCTTGGCAGGTTAACCACAACAGCGTGAAGCAAATTACTGCGGGCCCGTGACAGTCCCCTTCCCCCGTAACAAACAGACCACACCACAGGGGTCTAGCTCTGGTCTTCTACTTTTTTTTATTAGCACTGCGGGTTTTATAACGTGCAATTGATAAGGAAAAAGGAGGAGACAACGCCAACGACTTAACGTCACCACCCAATGAAGCGATCATCTGACCTGGGATAAAGTCTTAGATTAAGGCCAGCATGATCTCGCTAGTCTTTTTTGTAAGACCCTGGTTGGTGGGCCGGCTGGGGTTTGAACCTACGACCTCCCGCTTGGTAGATCGGTGCTTATCCTACTGAGCTAATAGGGCAGAGGTTTTTTTTTCATTTCTTTAGACTGACCTAAAAGGCTCAAGCTTTGGCTATCCGTAGCTGCCAGCTCACGGATTCTCATCCGGCTCGAGGGAGCAGTTTTGTCCTTCCAAAGGCAGAACAGTAAAAAAACAAAGAACCACAATACGATGTACAGTTTAATTTACCGTGCTAAGGTGCTTACCAGGAATATAATTGGTGGATTTCCAACCAAAGCAATTGCTGTACTCAGCTTTCGTCTGTTGCCACCGCTGAAAAACAAGACAAAAACAAATGATAAGTGCACCTCACTCAAAAAGACCTTTAACAACAAAAGGAAAAAATGAAGCCTCGATTATACGGAGAAAAGCGTGTCACGGGTTGAAGGGTCACTCGCCTACGCGACCTACCCTGGGCCGGACAACTTTTCCTCCATCTCCTTAAAAAACTTGGCGAACAGTTTACATGAGAAAAAAAAGGGATGGCTAGGCTAGAAGAGTGAGCCAGCTTGGCGGGTAAATAAGTTTTGATGGCACAGTGTAGGGTTCCCCTCCTAGCCGGGCCAACGTTTCTCGCCCAGCCGCATCAACGCGGCCAAGGCGAGACTATCAGAGTATGCGCCAGCATTGTTGGCTCGAGCAAAGAGGTTAGCTTTTTCCTTAACGCGACAACTAGTTACAAAAATGTTGAGACATTCCCACGAAATAAAAACCTTTCATGCTTCAAATCGCTGCTAGTCACAGGTCGGTGAGATATGAACTCCCTCCTCCCTCCCATTCAAAGTTGTTCCTCCACGTTTTGAGTATGGTCTTGTATTGCTAGCAACTTTGATGTGGGTTGGAGGGGGGATCACAAGCACAAGACTATGGACAGGCCATTAATGCAAAAATACGGTACAGAGTCTCAAGTACTTTTGGAACTGGTTGTAGCTTACGTTGACTCGGCTAGGAGTGCTCTTTCCCGGGACAACTTTTCTCCATGTAATCGAGGCCTAACGCAAAAGACAATAACTAAGACCAAGGGTGTACCTATAGTTTCCACACAGAGAGTCCGCCCACTTCTCCAGACGCAGAAGGTGAATAATGTCTGAAACAATGCCTTTGATCTTCTCGTCTGGAACTCCACGCAACCGAGCATACATGGTTAGCATCTCCCGTCCAGTCAGAAGTTCGATTAGCGCGTCGAACTGAAAAACAAACACAAACGAGAAACGTAAAGTTTATGCATGGATACGATTTTTATTGAAAATGTCTCCATTCACTTCATTCAGGCTTGAAATGTTTCTCCAAATGTTTTAAAGATTTTCTGTGCATAGAGTGCTATAGAGTGCAGTCAGCAAGATTATATTTATTTCCTGGCAGAGAAAGCAAAATGAAAATGTAACAATATACAATGAATTGTCCCTTTATTCAGTAGCAAGTGCTATATGAGTCCTCTCGCAGCCGTTTTTGAGTCGCCACACAACACTACTGTGCGGAGAACCGTTGCGTGACGACACAACAAACGGCCGCGAAGGAGACTAGTGCCATAGAAGCGCCCATAAACATTCGTAAGAAAAATTTAAAAAATTGAGTAAATTACATACCTGAGGACAGTAACCAATTCTCTGTTGAACCTGTTAAAAACACGAAAATTTTAAGTGGCAGGGCAAACAAAATTAAAAACTTGTACTCTCTTATAAAGAGAAAAAATCAGCGATCATGGTAAACGCGAGAGTGAACTATTGTCTGCAAGAAAAGAAAGGTAAACATGTAATGGATAGAATGATGTAGTACCTGCTTCAAATTTGATTGGATGTTGAATCCATCCAGGTAAGCAGTGCCTTCCGTTATGCTAAGGTCTCCTGTCAGCATGCTAAATGTCGTTGTCTTACCCGCACCTTCAAAAACATTGATCAACGACCCATCAATATTGAGCAGTATATAATATTGACCAATCAATAGTTGATCAATATAATATCGACCAATCAATAGGTAGCACGTCAGTCTCATGTATAACTCCATAAGCAACATTCCAAATCAACAAGGTTGATGAATTATTGAATAGTAAAATTACCCTCTGTATATGAGTACATATATTCACTAACTTTTGATGCAGATCTCGACTGATTGCTTCACTTCACAAATACGATAAATCTGTATGGACTTCACAATGATAAAGCAACCCTCCTGGTACTTAATAAAATTTTGTTCGTTAAACCACAGCTTATAATGTATGCATTTAAAATAAATCATCTCGTCCAACCATTTGATCAACAGACTTGTACGTCCGTGGATTTAGTTGGGTGAGGAAGGGGACAGGAAGGGATACTATCTAGTTCTGCAACGGTTCACCTACCGTTTATACCAAGGAGACCAAAACACTCTCCACGTGGAATACCAAGACAAAGATGATCAACTGCAGCTACGTGTGTACCTCGATAGACCTGTGAACAGCCGCAAAAAGAAGTCAAATGTGAATTATAGGGTTCAATGTAATTAAGCTTGGTTAACTACTTAGAGCAAACGCGCTTGGTATTGCAGCGCAGCGTAGTGTTCGTGTGTTTTGGTACCCTGGCTGCCCTTTTAGGTTAGCATTATGGCACTTTCCACTGTTGCGCCACTGGGCCTTCGGCAGTTGAAAGAGCAGCGGCATTCTCGCGCGGTTAATGCGTGCATTTCCACTCGGGCTCGTAGTTTATATATAACACTCCTTAGTGCTCGAGGCGATTCGCTGTGATTGGACTTTTAATGCTTTTCTACTCCTTCACCCCCATCCCCCGTAGCTTCAGGTTTCGTTTACTCAGTTGCTTCCCTCCAAACATCCACTGAGCCTGCAGTCTTAGTGGGACATGCTAGGGTTTGGGCTGGGTGTGGCGGGCGGGCTGTGTGGCCGGGTTGCGGGTAATGGAGGTTTATAGGGTGTTCTACCGACCAGGATTTGGGTTGTCAGTAACAGGCATATGCATCGAAACGCTTGATACAAATTAATGCGTAGAGAAGTACCCGTGGGCTATTTTTACCATACATTGAATTGACTGTATGACAAACCTTTGTTAAATCTTTGAGTACGACAGCCTCAGCTTCAACCGCATTACCTTCTTGGTCAGACAATATGCGAACACGCTCGTTAAAAACGTCTTCGTCCTGTTTTAAATAAACAAAAATAATTAAAACAAATACAAGAGTAGTAGATAAGGACAAGGAAGTACGTCAGGATCATGAGCTGCATGGACGTGGAAATGACGTTATACCCTCTGTGGTGCTAAATTTGAGTCCTTTACTGTATGTAGCTAGCGTTCAAGGGAAAACTTTCAAATTACTTATGGATTAAGTGTTTTCCTCCGTCGAAAGCAATAAATAGAAAACTTTGAGCAGCATTTGGCAAAGACGTTGTATTTAAATAACTTAAATAATATAGCGAGAGTTAATTACAAGCATCAATACAAAGACATTTTGCCACAATTAGCCCGTGATTAAATGACTTTAAGTTGATCATATCGATGGTGAAATAACACACATCGTCAAAATAGCTACGGTTTTGGAAGCAGACAAGACAAAAGTCAAGTGCCTAAAAACACCAGTTTATATACTTCAATTCAGAGCTTTTTTTCAGCATTGATCACGGTATAGAAACGTATACAAACACTGAAAATAAAGTCAGGTAATATTACACCTCTCCTTCCTTTCTCCTCATTTGGGGCTCTGAAGAGATGTTAACCTTTGCACTGATAAAAAAGTTCATCTGTGAAAGAAACCATGAGAAAAAATAAAGTTAATTTGAATGAAATTAATAGGACAACAAACCCAAGAATTAAAGCCAAATCAAGTGTCTCAAAAAACAAAAAAAGTTTAGACAAGGTATGTGGATAAAAACAAAAAACAAAACAATTTGTCAGACGCTCTCTGACAGCAAAAAGTAAACCAAACTACTTAAGTTGGCGAAACGGCGCAATATATCAACGCTCTAATAAAAAGGCTAAAGAACTACTAAAAAAAACTCAAAACATGGTGACCGCTGATGAAAATATCACGCAAAAAAACAGTCTGTTCACAATCCCACAGCCACCATCTTTTACTAAAAATGACAACCAAAGCGAAACTTTCATAATATTGGGGAAGCACGCGGTTTACTTGCAATCGCCAAGATTGTGTAGTTCCAGAAAATATACATACACGCTAACCAAGGACAAAGGATATTCTGAGGAAGGGGGGAAGGGGGTCCAAAAGGCGGCGATATCCGAGGGGAAGGAGATGGCATAGATTGAAGTATAGTGCATCAGCATTTTTGACAGAAATATTCTTTCCAGGGGATATCCAACCAAGTGGGAAAATCATGGAAATTCCAGAGGCGATGGGCAATGACAAGTACATTGGGTTGGGTCGTCCAAACAAAAGTGCCTTCGCGAGATATGGATATTTCTGGAAATAAGCATTTCACCGTGCCAAATCAAGTGGCAGCCTTTTGAAAGACGTGTTCGCGCTTAACAACCGCCGAAAAAATAGGGCATGAAGGACAGTCTAGCGAAATGTTTACCTCAATAAGAAGAATGAATAGGAACAAAACAATCGCCTCCACGAACATGTACAATGTAGCCTGACCCACCCCCGGACGGTCCCAATCAAGAACATTTTTTGTCCACGTGCAAGGAAGGCCAGGTCTGCAGAGTCAATGACAGGTTTAAGGTAAGAGTCACAATAATTCCTTTGCAGAAATTGGTCACGTGCTTGGATACCACTTAGCAAGGCTCTCTGGATGGCACGCCATCCAAGCGTTCATTCCAATCACAAAGCTTTGATTGCGATCGAGTCAGTGAACCATTCCTGGCTAGTTAGGAGAGCAATGGTGACGCAGTGGTGAGAGCACTCGCCTCCCACCAGTGTGGCCCGACTTTAAAGCTCAGCATCGAAGCCATATGTGGGTTGAGTTTGTTGTTGGTTCTTTCCTTTGTTCCGAGAGGTTTTTCTCCGGGTACTCTGGTTTCCATCTCTCCTCAAAAACCAATACTTCCAAATTCCAATTCGATCTGGAGCGCGCGGAGACGCTTAAACGAGTTTTTAAGAACTCTTTGGTGCTTAATGGGTAAAAAATTACAATTTATAGTTTTTTTATTTTTAATTATGTTGAAAATTAACCGAAATGACTCGGCAAGAAGGCCTAAAGGACGTTTAAATTAACCCAGGAAGGCTTCGACTGATAACATTCAAAGCTTTGTGATGGCTTGCCATTCGGCAAACCCCCGCCCGCGGGGGGGGGGGGGGGTTTACTTCCCTATATAAGTCATATGGGTATGTGCCGCCCCAAAGGGCACGGTGTTGCGCCGTTTTGGTCTCAGAACGGGTATAGACTTAGTTCATTTTGGTCTGGAATCGGATATGGTTTGCAAGGGAACTAGGGGAATACACGAACGTATTTATTGTTTCATTCCAAACGAATAAGAAAGAAAGAGAAATCTGAGAATTCGAAATGAATTTTAAGAAATATTTTTTGTTGCTGTTCTAATCTAAGCAATGATGACATAATTTCTTAAAGGCCAGATGTAAGAATGGATGTGAAAAAGACCGGCATTTTTTGAGGGAACCGATTGAGAACCGATTTGGAGAACCGAGCGGCACACCCTCACCAAGAATTCCCAGGAGTCCCTCCCCTCCCCCTATCGAACCATTACTAAGTGAAATCCAAGCGTGTGCAAAGGAGCTAATAGCCCCTACGCATGATTACGTCAGGCGAGTAAATTTCACCAACAAGCCTCGTTTGTGAACAAAATTTTTTGCATTTGCACTTTTTGTGCGTGGGTATTCTTTTCAACTCTACTGCCTTGGGAATTCATTTCTGTGAAACTTCGCTTATTTTTAATTTCAAAAGGAGGCTTGGTGGTGAAATTTGCTTGTGTGACGTAAACATGCATAAGGGCTATTACTAGAAATGAATCTCGAGAAGTGGGTTTATTTAAGTGCATGTGAATGTATTTCCAAGACAAATTTAATATAAAAGGCACTAAAAAAATGAACAGGGGATTGTTTACTTACTCGCAGTGTTTTCGATTCATATTGTTTTGACTGATGTCCATGATACTGGCAGAAAGGCTGTTATTAAACGAACACAAAGAATGTTCATAATTACTTAATTTATAGTGCCCTGACCTAAAGATTTTAGGTTTTATTAAACTGAACTACAAGTGGCCCAGGCTCGCAATATTTTTAAATGGCTACATATCTTTCTATAGGTCTCTATAATCCTTTCCATTCGAGAGAGCAAACTGGTTCCCACAAAACTCATTAAATGGCCATATATCAGCTTGGAAACCAAACAGGAAAGAAGAAGGTTAGCCGATTTTTATTTAAATCCTTTCACATCCGTAGGCTACAGAAACAATTATTTCTTCTCCCATACAAATCCTTATATTTTGAACGTTACGCAACAGTGCTGATGGTCATATTTCGAGCTTGGGCTACCTGCGTTAAAACGAGAACCCATGCGATTTAAACTCAACCAGACATTTTTAGATTTTTTTATGTTTTTGAAACGTTCAAATTTCCCGCCAGATTTTCAAATTTTCTCTCCGATTATATGACTCTTCCGTTTAGTATTACAGGAGAGAAGAATATGACTCAAGACCAACAAATAAAGGTAAATATGTCAAAAAAAAGGCAAACTTACGAGTAGGTTGGAAATAACAGACCGATAAAGTGAACAATATCAGCATCGTCTTTCTGGCCGTTAAAAGTGAGGATATTGTTTGTTATCAGAAATGCCTAAAATGAAAAAAGGAAAAATCATTGTTATGCCCCCACAAAACCAAAATTACTTCATATTATTAATTGACGGGGTGAGGGGGGTGGGGGGGAAGGGCGCTGGTTGTATGGAAGGCCGAGTTACAACCACTAAGAAGAAGTGCTTTTCAGCAAAGAAGACATTTAATCTCCTGCATGCAAGGGTAAGTATGTCCCTGCTGATTTTTCCACAAAAATACTCTGCATCTCGACTTGGATGACTTCGACAATACTAAGTGCTTTTAAGCTTCAGGCTTCATGATGTTGTTGCGTTCATTCTCGAACGTGAAAACTGGCCGCGTTTCTCTCGCCATGGTGGTAACACAACTGTCCAGCATGCTTTGATCACATGCTGCTCTATCACGTGCGGGGTACAATTGACCACTCCAGAAAATACCATAACAGACAGACCATAATACTCTTTGTTTGTCACCCTAAAATTTTGCATAAGCATTGCCTTCAGTTTCTCTTGGGAGTTGAAAAGGCCCCAAGAGAAACTGAAAACAATGCTTATGCAAAATTTGGGGGTTAAAAACAAAGAGTATTATGGTATGTTATGGTATTTTCTGAAGTGGTCAATTACTGAATTGTATCACGGTCGGGATGCATTCGAATTTTGTCAAGGTCACTTGACCGAGAATCAACCAATGGTAGTCCCTGTTTAGTTGAGTAAATTCAACAATATTACCTATGTAGGTGACTCGTCTTACCATACTAACAACAGACAGGACAAACACGGTCGTCGCATAGGCTGCAAGCGGCCCTTTAAACAGGAATGAAACCAAATAGACGAATGGCAGCATACACAACCCTGAAAGAAGCTAAAATAAAGGAAAACAGAAACTCAGTTTTGTGTACTGAGTGAGCAGTGCATTGCATTATTTCAGGGCAAATCCATTGTAAAGAAGAAGAGCTAACTTGATAGAAATAACTTTTAACGGCAAATATTTTTCTAATGGATACAAAATTGAATGTACTAGAAACACGAATAAGGCCGCGTCCACACGAATCCGGATATAAAAAAATATGCGGTTTCAAAGATGTGCGGATTGGTGTGGACATGGCCAAAACTTACGTGGGTCGCCATTTTGAACTATGAGAACGTGATTTAGTAACGCCTGATGGCGGAAATCGACTTTCTTTAAATGACGCCACGCAATTCAAACGGTGACGCTCGAGGAAATATTCAAGAGAAAGTAGACCTATTAGGGAGCTTAAGCAGCGACGTTTTTGAGCGACGCACGTCAACCGGAAGTGAGGTATTTTCCCTCTTAACATGCCTTGATGATATAAAATTTGTATTCCTTAGCTTCTTTACTGTTATAAAGGCGATTTGACTGAAAATTTGCGCGAAATCACCGTCAAAAAATGAGAAAAGGCCACTTCCGGTTGACGTGCGTCGCTTAGAAACGTTGCTGCTTAAGCTCCCTATTGATCAATTTTATATTTAAAAAAATCCTTAAAAACCTAACACAACCTCTCATTAATGGCTGTAATCACGTGCAATCGCACAGAAAATTAACCGCTAAATACTACTATATGAGAAATTTCTGCAATTTGATTGGCTTAGAGCAGTAGTATTTCAGCTTAATTTGAAATACCTACATGTGAAAATTACAAACCTTGTGTGGGTAGTAGTATAAACAAATAATAGCATGATTAGCACGTGATATTTGGCATAAATACCACTCATGATATTTCAAAATTGTCGCAAATTTCACTCGCCTAACGGCTCGTGAAATTCCGTATAACAATTTCGAAATATCACTCGTGGTATTTATGCCAAATATCACTACAAACCATACTATTACCTATACAAATATGTATGTACGGTTGGGTGTCTGTCAAACCTGAAAATTCAATATTTAATTATAGCAGCCTGTTCTTGGCGTCGAGATAAAGGAGAGTAACTCGAAATAGTAAACGGTAGAGAGGGAGTGAACAAAAAGAGAGAACGACATTCTATCGCCCTCTCTCCTTTTTTCCTGCCCACTTTAGTCGCGTTGCGCCATCCGCCACTATCTGGACGCCTGGACCAAACTAACTGGTGTTGTCATTACCAATAACAGAAAAACCGCTCCAAGATCATTCTTCAGTGAATCTACTTGAAAAGCTGCAAACATGATCATAATTCCAAGCAGTGGAAATAAATAGTTGATGAAGTCCCATGAATAGGTGGCCAGCCAAAAGGAGACGGCGTCCACGCCGCTTACAAATTGGAGATGCTTTGCCTGCACGAACACAAGAAAGGGAACCGCAGTGATTGTTAGTCAAGTGAACACTTCGCTGATACGGCGAATTCTAGACAAAGGTAATTGTCAAAAAGAACTCGACC